TATGGATGACAAGCCTGGCTCTGTCAGTGGCAAATAATTTGATGAATGGATCTGCACAGCTCCTAGATACCATGACTTGAGTGGCCTGATCCAGAGGCAAGAACAGTCATATTGGCATGCCTCGAGTTGCTTCTACCTGAGATATGATCATTTTTCCTGTGAGGAAAGTCCATCCAGGAAGTTCTCTCTGGGCCTAATTGGAGTTGCTTGTCAAAATGTATTGGCTAGAGTCAAAGGGAAGACCCTATAAAATTAGGATTCCACAGGGCTGGAGAGACCACTGGGGCTTGGACCATCCTGTGGCCCTACATGGGGCCTCCTACCCCACCCCTTCCTAATAAGAGGCCAGGAGTAGTTAGAATTCAATTACGCCCTGGTGAAGAGAGTCTTCCAGGCAGAGCTGGGGCAGGCCCGTGTCTGGGCTGAACAGAACAACCGATTTAAGCTAAATCAACGCCTACTTAAGTGAGCCGTAATAAGCATTCTGGGGGCAACGCCAGCCTGGGGGCATCATTTATCACCGGGTAATAGAAAACCGTAATGAATAATAACTTGGGCCCAGCAGCTGGAGCATGCATACATTATGGGGTTCGAGCTGCCGCTGTCCACCGAGCTGGGAGGGTGGGTGTGAAGCCAGGGTGGTGGGGTTTGCATATTGAATTCTGCCGCTGTGCAGGAAGGCCTTTGTTGTACAGAAAAGCCATTAATCTCATACCTGCTTTGCCAGTCTGCAGTTGGTGTGGCGAACACACGGCCTATTTTTTTGTATTGCACCAAGAGGGAACAAGACACCCCCGAGGAGAAAACCTGCTCTAGAGAGATGGTTCTGGCCTCTGCCTTGGTCAATGTATGAGAACACAGACCTCAAGTCAGCTCCCGTCTGAGGCCTGATCCCAGAGTGTGTTCATTTTCTCACCAGGCCTTGTCAAGCAACACAGTTTGAGTACCAGCAGCGCCCAGAGTTCTGTGCTGGCTAATGGTGGGGTCTGGGGATAGCATAAGGTAGGCCTGTGAAGCTCCTGTCATGGCACTATTGCATTTCATATCCACTTCTGGTTTTGAAATGGGCGTTACACTTGTGCTCTGTTTTACATACCAGAAAACTGAGAATCAGAGGGGTTAAATGGCTTGCACACACAAATAGGAAGAGGGGGTCCTGGATTCAAATCCAGACTTCTGATATAAATTCTGAACCCTTTACTTTTTATCGCCTTCCCTCCCAGATAAAAAGGCTTGAACACGTCTTAATCTGTTCTCTTGATCCCATTCCCTTCGGGTTCTGGATCCTAGAGCGTTAGTTATTGTCCCGTCGTATGGTGGGCCAGCAGGCTACTCCCTCCTTTGGAAAGCTCTCCTTGTGTCTTCCATGATATGCCTTCTGCCATTCACCTTGGCCTCCTTAATGGGATAATTATTACTTCTCACTACGGTTGTGAGGATAATTTGTCAACCTGTGCTAATCCAAGATTCTTCTGGTCCCATCAGCTTAGGTGTAAGGGAAAGCTGCAGGAATAATAATAATAATAATAATGATAATAATAAAAAAAACAACACCCGTGTCTTCCTGTCTCAGACTCCACTGCAGGCTTCTTCTCAATCCTTCCCCTTGTGTTCTTTGAGGATTGCTGGGGTACTTATCTTGCTGGCACCTTCTGTTGCTTCCAGGCAGCCTCCATGACTCCTTCTGTCTACCTCCTGGACCCATTGGGTGGCTCCCAGTTTAGTGTTTGCCTTTTCTCTGCCTCTGACACTGGTTTCTTGGTGCTGGGTCTCTGGAGGTTGTCCTTAGTTCTTCTTGACTGGGAGTGACTTCTCTTTTGTTCCCCCAAGGTCCCCAGTGAAATGGGGGTGGGGGGGTAATGTTGCTATTTTTCACATTCACTAGTTAATTCAACAAAACTTATGTGTACCTTCTAGTGAGTGGACATTCAAAGGGGACTTAGACCATGTCCTTCTATATCAGAATGATATCTTCCTCAAGGCTGAACCTCCTTGCTCACCTCTGTATTTCAATTTCAGAACTGCATAGTCTTGTTTCTTTGTTTCCTGAGGAATCTGCTGCTAATGCTTGTTTTACTTGACTGGCTCTTGACCATACACTTAGCTCCTTAGGATCCATAATGAGTTCATGGAAGCCTGAAGCCAAGCATGAGTGCCATGAGCTATGCTGGGTACTGTTCTCCCTCTCTTCTGCCCCTAGCCACTGTCCTCAGACTGAAATGGGGCCTGGGCCTGAGTTTTCATTGATAAAGGCTGAATTGATTTAGACTGGTATCTTAAGACTGAACAGTTCACTTCAGGGAAATACCTCTGCAGCATTCCTCATAAACCACTGTAAATAAAGTCCACTCACTTAAATCAGCTATAAATTGATAAAACCAAACACCACAGAAAAGAAAACAGAGAGAACTGTCCTAATTCTTATTTGAGTTGTGATAGCTTTGTTCTGACCTAGTCTCTCTTAGTTTATTCTCAACTATTTCAGACTTGTAATCCTTTTGACTCTTTAATCCCTTTGCTATCCATTTAACAAACCCTATGAAAATATAGCTTTTTTTTTCATAATGAAATCATCAATGTGATGTTGGCCATGGAGGTGGGTCACACAGCTTTCCTTTCATTGTTATTATTATTATTTTTAGAGACAAGGTCTCACTCTGTTGCCCATGCTGGGGTGCAGGGACACCATCAAGGTTCACTGCAGGCTCAGGTGATCCTCCCACCTCAACCTCCTGAGTAGCTGGGACTACAGGTACACACCACTATGCCTGGTTAATTTTTGTATTTTTTGTAAAATGGGGTTTTGCCATGTTGCCCGGGTTGGTCTTGAACTTCTAAGCTTGGGCAATCCACCTGCTTTGGCCTCTCAAAATGCTGGGATTATAGGCACAAGCCTCTGCACCTGGCCCAGCTTTCCCTTGCAAAGGACCAGAGAGTTGGCTGACAGCCTTCAGGTGCTGTACCTTTGGATCTCTGCGATGTTCAGCTGAGGTTCATTTTCCCTAGGCTGTGCCTGGCCAACCACCAAGCACTGTGCAGGTAACGGAACTGGACGACTTTCTGCTCGATGCAGGACTCCTCTCGTGGGCAATCAGTGCTCTGGGGCTCCTCAGAGCTGCACTGCAGTTTGAGGCTCTTCCTATCCAATCCTCTTTCCTTCTGCCTCTCCTTTCACAGCTATCAGGTTGGTATTGCAGATTGAAGATTCCGCCTGCCCTTTAACTCTCACAAACGTTTCCTGCAATATATACCTTGCACTTCTAATTCTGTTCTGGTATCCGCTTCTAGGAGGGCCTAAGCTGACACACATGCTCAGAGAGAAGCAAACAACAACATATGCATACATCATATATACATTTAAGATGACTTCAAGGAACTAGGCTAGGGACTCTGTGAAAGATGGTATGCTAAGCAGCACCTTGGTATTCTTTGCAGTGGGCCCAGCTTTTGGCTGTATTTGTAGTATTCCAGCATGGACCCAGCTTTTGGCTGAGGCTCAGTGAGTAAGGGACACCAGGACTCTTCTAGCCTGACTGCACATAGTGTGAGTCTGTTGTGTCCAGGGGCAGAATTGAGAAGCCAGAAGGTGTTGCTTTGGGCTGCCTTGCTCAGCTTCCTTTCCTGTGTTGTAATCACCAAGGACTGTGCCAATCATTAATATTAAAGTGGTTGCCTGCATGCTGTTTAGGGACCACTGGACCTCAAGAGGGATCCTTAAGAACAATCTGCCAGTCTCAGTTTTAGCTTCCAGAAGGCCCTGACCCCTGTGGCCTGAGAACTTGTCAGTCTTCATACCCTGAGAATATGCTATCCCATGTCCTATACCCCCATCATCCAATTTTAGGAAAGTCTGCGGTTCTAATTTGGAGGTAGGCACTGATCAATATCTGCCACAACCTTAGGGTAGGCTGTGACCTGAATGACGGTTGTGGTAGACGGCAGCTGAGTGAGGTGGTCAACTGGCTGAAATTGGTAAGCAGGGGTATGTGGCCTGAGAGGTTGTGAAGGAACCACAGGAATGTCCAGGTGGCAGAGAGGTCCGGAGTCTGGAAGGTAGGAACACTGGAGCTCCATGTTGCTGAATTCAAATAACTTCTCTATCTTCATGTAACCCCTGTCAGCAGAAATCCACACAGCTAGCAAGTCCCTTGCTGGTTAAAGATGTTTGTATCTAATGTTCATGAGAGAGATTGGTCAGTGGGTTTTTTTTCCTTTTAATTTATTTATCTGGTTTTGGGATCAGGGTAATGCTAATTTCATAAAATGATTTGGGAAATGTTCCTTCTATTTTCTGAAAGAGTTTGTGCAGAATAGTTATTATCTCTTCATTTAATGTTCATTATAATTTAGCAGTGAAGTCATTTGGGACTGGAGTTTCCTTTGTGGAAGGTTGTTAGTTATGAGTTCGTTTCTTTGATAGATATAGGACTATTCAGGTTATCTGTTTCTTCTTGAGTGAGCTTTGGTAGTTTGTGTGTTTCAAGAAATTTGTCCATTTTATCTAGCTTATATAACTTATTAGCATAAAATTATTCATACCATATAATTCCCTTGCTGTCCTTTTAGAATCGGCAGGATCTACAGTGATGTACCCACTTTAATTCTTGATATTGGTAATTGTTATTTTATCTTTTGTTTCTTTCTGTTTGACTAAAGGTTTATCAATTTTATTGATCTTTTCCAAGAGCCAGATTTTGGTTTCATTATTTTTGTTTTCTATTTTATTGATTTATGTTCTAATTTACCTTTTCTGCTTATTTTGGGTTTAACTTGTTCTTCCTTTTTAAATAACTTAAGGTGAACACTAGATAATTGATTTGAGAATTTTATGATTTTCTAATATAAACATTTAATGCTATAAATCTTCTAAGCATTGATTTAGCTACACTCCACACATTTTGATCTGTTGTGTTTTGGTTTTCATTTAGTACAAAATATTTATAATTTCTGTCACAGTTTTTTTAGATCTGTATGTTATTTAGAAGTGTGTTGTTGTTTAATTTTCTTTTTTTGTAAGTGACAAACATTTATTGGTGTCACTTATGGTAGAAAAAACTTCCTACACTAGATGCACATGACCCAATTGTTAAATAGAACATTTTGAAGGTGAACACACACCCTAACCCAGGTTTTTTACTCACTTTTTAAGATGGCCAATTCTTCTCACCCCCAAAGACATGTGAGCAACTGCTAATGAAAAGCAGTAAACAGCCACTTGGGTTGTAGCATTTTCAACTCCACTCTGAGGTGAATATTCCAATTACATTTGAGACTTAAGTTCTCTCAATTTTTTCCTAACGAAAGTTCCTGAGTCCAGTATTTACAATATTACAGCACTAGCAGATCAGTGTCTACAACTCATCTTTTTCTGCTGTATCCTCTTCACCAGTTGGGGGAGGGCCTGCCCTTCCATAGAATTTGCTGATAATTGGTTGAACAATTTCTTCTAGTTCCTTCTTCTTAGCTTTGAAGTCTTCAGTGTCAGCATCTTGGTGGCTTTCCAGCCATTCAGCCTTTTCTTCTACAGTTTTTTCCATGGTCTTCTTATCTTCAGAGGAAAGTTTACCTCCCAGCTTTTCTTTATCTCCAAACTGATTCTTTAGATAATAGGCATAGCTTTCCAACTCATTTCTAGTATCAATGTACTCCTTGAACTTGTTGTCTTCCTCAGCAGACTTCTTAGCATCATTAACCATCCTTTCAATTTCTTCAGGTGTCAGGCGATTCTGGTCATTGGTAATTGTGATCTTAGTTTTGTTCCCTGTACCCTTGTCTTCAGCTGTCACTCGAAGAATACCATTCACATCCATCTCAAAGGTAACTTCAATCTGTGGGACCCCACAAGGAGCAGGAGGAATTCCAGTCAGATCAAATGTACCCAGAAGATGATTGTCTTTTGTCAGGGGTCGTTCACCTTCATAGACCTTGATTGTAACAGTTGGTTGATAATCAGAAGCTGTAGAAAAGATCTGAGACTTCTTGGTTGGCACTACTGTGTTCCTTGGAATCAGTTTGGTCATGACACCTCCCACAGTTTCAATACCAAGTGTAACGGGATACACATCAGGCAGTGCCAAGTCATCTGTATCTTGATCACCAGAAAGCACACCAGCCTGGACAGCAGCACCATATGCTACAGCTTCATGTGGGCTTATGCCATGGGATGGTTCCTTGCCATTGAAGAACTCTAACCGGTTGCTGAATCTTTGGAATTCCAGTAAAGCCACCAACAAGAACAATTTCATCAATGTCAGATTTCTTCAAATCAGAGTCTTCCAACACTTTCTGTACAGGCTTCATAGTAGACCGGAACAGGTCCAGTGGAGCGCTTCAAATCTGGCCTGAGTCAGGGTCTCAGAAAAGTCTTCTCCTCCATAGAAGGACTCAATTTCAATTCTTGCTTGATATTGAGAAGACAGGACCCGTTTGGCCTTTTCTACTTTGCGCCGGAGTTTCTGCACAGCTCTATTGTCTTTCCTGACATCTTTGCCGGTCTTCTTTTTGTACATTCAAAAAGTACAAATAGCATTTGTACTTTTTGTGTTCAAATAGTGCTCCACGACACGCTGGTCAAAGTCTTCTCCACCCAGATGAGTATCTCCATTAGTGGCCACAACTTCGAAGACACCATTGTCAATGGTGAGAAGAGACACATTGAAGGTTCCACCACCCCGGTCAAACACCAGGATGTTCTTCTCCCCCTCCCTCTTATCTAGGCCATAAGCAATAGCAGCTGCTATAGGCTCATTGATAATCCTCATAACATTTAGGCCAGCAATAGTTCCAGCATCCTTGGTTGCTTGGCGTTGGGCATCATTGAAATAGACTGGTACAGCAACAACTGCATGGATAACCTTCTTTCCCAAATAAACCGCAGCAGTTTCTTTCATTTTAGTGAGAACTATTACAGAAATTTCTTCAATAGCAAAGGTCTTTGTTTGCCCACCTCCAATATCAACTTGAATGTATGGTTTAGTTTTCTTTTCAACCACCTTGAATGGCAAGAACTTGATGTCCTGCTGCACAGACGGGTTGTGCCACCTGCAGCCGATGAGCCGCTTTGCATCAAAAACCGTGTTCTCGGGGTTGGAGGTGAGCTGGTTCTTGGCTGCATCGCTGATCATACCTTACCATTCAGGAGTGAAGGCCACATAGGACAGGGTGATGCAGTTGCCCTGATCGTTGGCAATGATCTCCATGTGGCTGTTCTTGAACACACTGACGCAGGAGTAGCTTGTCCCCAGGTCGATGCCAACCACCATGCTCACGTCCTCCTTCTTGTCCTCCTTCTCGGCCCACGCTGCGCTAAGCAGCAGCAGCATCACAGCCACCAGGGAGAGCTTCATCTTGCCAGCCAGTCAGGCAGCAGCAGGCAGGGCGTCGCAGGCAGTCCAGCCACAGGCCGCAGCACAGGAGTGCAGCGCGGTTACCGACTTGCAGGTGGCAGGGGCCGGGGTTCACAAGGCGCCATGAACCAGGTGAAGGGCAGGTCTGGAAATGCAGGCCACGGCGCTTACCTCTCACACTCGCGAAACACCCCAACGGGTTGGTCTGTCTGTGCTGTCTTGGCCGGTGTCTGTATTGTTTAATTTTCAAACATTTGAGGGGTTTTCAGTTAAAAGATGTCTTTTTGTTACTGACTTCTAGTTTAAATTCATTGTGGTCAGCAAGCATACTTTGCATGAGTTTAATAATATTAAGTTGGAGACTTATTTTGTACCCAAATATGATCTTGGTGAATGTTTCATGTGAACTTAAAAAGAATATGTATTCTTCTGTTGTTGAGTGGTGTATTCTATAAGTGTGAGATTTTTCTGAAAATCTACTTCTTATAAATTTTTTGAATTAGTGTTAACATGGTGTATTTTTTACATCCTTGCACTTTTAACCCATGTGTGTCTTTATATTTAAAGGTGGTTTCTTGTGGATAACATACAGTTGGATCCCATCTGACACTCTCTGCCTTTTGGGCTGTTTAGGCCTTTTTTTTTGAGATGGAGTCTTACTCTGTCGCTGAGACTGGAGTGCAGTGGTGTGATCTTAGCTCACTGCAACCTCCACCTCCTGGGTTCAAGTGATTTTCCTGCCCCAGCCTCCCGAGTAGCTGTGATTACAGGTGCCTGCCACCACACCCAGCTAATTTTTGTATATTTAGTAGAGACGGGGTTTCACCATATTGGCCAGACTGGTCTCAAGCTCCTAACCTCCAGTGGTCCACCTGCCTTAGCCTCCCAAAGTGCTGGGAGGCATGAGCCACCGCGCCTGGCCATAGAACTTTACACTTAATAAAGTTATTGATATAAATGGGTTTAACTCTACTATCTTGCTATTTCTTTTTTATTTCCTCATTTGTTCCTTGTTCCTTTTCCCCCTCTTTCCTTGCATGCTTTTGTAATAAATGAGTTTTAAATATTTCATTTTCAATCTTCAGTATTGGCTTATTTTCTCTTTGTTGTATTAGGTTGGTGCAAAAGTAATTGCGGTTTTTGCCACACCCTTTTGCACCAACCGAATAGTTTTAAGTGGTGAATCCAAGGTTTATATATGCATCTTTATCTTATCACAGTCAAATGTTTCAAATAATATACCACTTTACACAGTGTAAGAACTTTACAATAGTATACTCCCATTTCCCTCATCCTGCTTTTTTTCCTATTGCTTTAATAAATTTTACTTGGGCAGTTCGGTGGTCCCTCCAGTCTGTCTCTTACTTCAACAATGTTTGGATGGAACAGATCCGGGGACTCTTCCTTCCAGCCTCCGACCGCCCTCTGATTTCCTCTCCACTTGCAACCTCCGGGACCGTCTTCTCGGCCATCTCCTGCTTCTGGGACCTGCCAGCACCGTTTTTGTGGTTAGCTCCCTCTTGCCGACCAACCATGAGCTCCCGGATTCATCAGAATTATTCTGCCGATGCGCAGGCAGCCGTCAGCAGCCTGGTAAATGTGTACCTTCAGGCCTCCTACACTTACCTCTCCCTGGGCTTCTATTTCGACCGCGATGATGTGGCTCTGGAAGGCGTGGACCACTTCTTCTGCGAATTGGCCAAGGAGAAGCGCGAGCGCTACGAGCGTCTCCTGAAGATGCAAAACCAGCGTGGCGGCCGTGCTGTCTTCCAGGACATCAAGAAGCCAGCTGCAGATGAGTGGGGTAAAACCCCGGATGCCATGAAAGCCGCCATGGCCCTGGAGAAAAAGCGGAACCAGGCCCTTTTGGATGTTTAGGCCCTGGGTTCTGCCCACACAGACCCCCATCTCTGTGACTTCCTGGAGACTCACTTCCTAGATGAGGAAGTGAAGCTCATCAAGAAGATGGGTGACCACCTGACCAACCTCCACAGGCAGGCTGGCTGACCTGGCGGCTGGGCTGGGCGAGTATCTCTTCCAAAGGCTCACTCTCAAGCATGACTAAGAGCCTTCTGGGCCCAGCCACTTCTGAAGGGCCCCTTGCAAAGTAATAGGGCTTCTGCCTAAGCCTCCCCCTCCAGCCACTAGGCAGCTTTCTTAACTACCCTAACAAGCCTTGGACCAAATGGACATAAAGCTTTTTGATGCAAAAAATAAAAATAAAAAAATAAAATAAATAAAATAAATAAATTTTACTTGTACACATGGTATAACTTCCACAGTACTTTGTTATTACTTTTTATTAAAACCACCAATAATCTTTTAATGAGATTCAAAATGAGGAAAAAAGAAAGCCTTTTATATTTACCCACATATTTACCGTTTCTGCTGCTCTTCAGTCTTTTGTGTTGATCCAAATTTCCATCTGGTATTATTTCTTTCTGCCTGCAGAACTTTCTGTATCATTTCTTGTAGAACAGCTCTGCAGGCAATAACTTGTTTCAGTTTTTGGTTGTCTAAACAGTCTTTATTTTGCCTTTAGATTTAAAAGATTTTTTGCTGGGTAAAAAATTCTAGATTGGGCCAGGCACACTGGCTCATGTCTGTAATCCCAGCACTTTTGGAGGCTGAGGCGAGATCATATGAGGTTAGGAGTTCAAGACCAGCCTGGTTAACATGGCAAAACCCCGTTTCTACTAAAAATACAAAAAATTAGCTGGGTGTGGTGGTACATGCCTGTAATCCCAGCTACTTGGGACGCGGAAGCAGGAAATCGCTTGAACCTGAGAGACGGAGGTTGCAGTCAACCAAGATCGCACCATTGCACTCCAGCTTGGGCAACAAAAGAAAAAAAATGTCTAACAAAAAAAAAAAAAAAAAAAAAAAAAAAAAAAAAAAAAAAAAAAGGGCTGGGCACAGTGGCTCACGCCTGTAATCCCAGCACTTTGGGAGACCGAGGTGGGCGGATCACAAGGTCAGGAGATCAAGACCATCCTGGTTAACATGGTGAAACCCTGTCTCTACTAAAAATACAAAAAATTAGCCAGCCGCGGTGGTGGGCACCTATAGTCTCAGCTACTCAGGAGGCTGAGGCAGGAGAATGGCGTGAACCCGGGAGGCGGAGCTTGCAGTGAGCCGAGATCGTGCCACTGCACTCCAGCCTGGGCGACAAAGCGAGACTCCCTCTCAAAAAAAAAAAAAAAAAAAAAAAAAGGAAAAAAGAAAAATAAATAGAAAAAAGAAAAATTCTGTATTGACAGATTTTTTTTTTTTTTTTTTTTTTTAACTTTTTCTTTCAGTACCTTAATGATGTCTTTCTATTTTCTTCTGGCTTGCATGCCTTTCTGACATAAAATCTGCTATCAGTTTAATCTTTGCTTTTCTATGCATAAAATGCCTGCCTGCCTTTAAGATTTTTTTTTTAATCATGATTTTCAGCATTTTGATTTTGACGTACCTTTGGATTTCTTCAGCCTGGAGTCCATTATGCTCTTAGGTTGGTGGTTTTATAGTTTTCACCAAATTTGAAAAAATTTGGTCTTTTTTTTTCAAATAACCTTTCTGCTTCTCCTTTTTTCCCACCTCAGGACTCCAATTACACATATATTAGACTGCTTGATATTGTTCTAAAGGTCAGCCTGTGGATTTTTTTTCCCAATCTCTTTTCTTTTAGTGCTTCATTTTGGACAGTTTATATTGCTATGTGTTCAGAGTCATTGCTCTTTTTCTTCTGCAGTGTCAAATCTGTCATTTTTCATTTAATATGCTGTGTTTTTTAATCTCTAGAATTTCCATTTGCTTCTTTTTTCTATCTTCTATTTTTCTTCTTATCATGTTCGTATTTTTTCTCTACCTCGCTGAAAAATGTAGTATATTTATAATAGCTGTTACTTTTTTTTTAGCTAATACTTTCCTTGTCTGCTAGTTTCACCATTTGTGGGTCTGTTTCTATTGATTGATTTTTCTTCTGGTTATGCAGAAAAAAATTTTCTTTTTTTTTTTTTTTGCATACCTGGTAATCTTTTATTCAGAGCTAGATATTGTTATGTGATATTCTAACGGGATTCCAAGAAGATCAAACAAAGATATTGTTTGTTGGTTGCTGGTTTTATTTTACTTAAATAGTGTTTCTTTTCTGGTGCTTGGTTACTTGAAATGAATCAGAACTTTTCAGTCCTTTTAAATTTGTTATGGTAGGTCCAAGGCAACTTTTAGTCTATGCATAATTTAGCACCAATACTAAGGCACTTCCCTTCTGTGGCTTCTACCCAATGCTCCAGGTATTAGGAGGTCTATTCCTAGTTCTGTGTGAGCTCTGGGAATTGGTCAGCCTGTTTTATGCTGATGGTTCTTTCTTCATCTTTGGGTAGTTTCCTCTTATACATGTATAGATCAGTACTCAGTCATAGACTTGCAAGGACATTTCTACAGACCTCTGAAACTCTCCCTCTGTGTAGGTCCCTCCTAACTGGTTCTCTGCCTTACAGTAGCTTCCTTGGCTTCCTGAACTTTCATCTCTAACTTCTCAACTCAGTCAGACTGCTGAGTTCTGTTTTGGTCCCCATTCTCTTTGCTAAGACCTGAAAATTGCCTCTGTGCAGTGAGTTGGTGCCTTGTTTCCCTTCTCTCAGGGATGGAGTTTCTGTGCTGCTTATTGTATAATAAAAAGCTGTGAAACAATGCTTTGGTATTCTTGTTGCTTATAGTGTGAGGTTGTCTGGTCTCTGTTACTCCATCCTGGTTGGAAGCAGAAGTGATCACTCCTTCCTTCTTGGGACACTTTTTCTTTTTTTTCCTCTCACTTTGCTGGCCACTCCATCTCATTTTTAAAACTGTCCTTCTAATCTACTTATAAATATTAGCATTCCCTGTACCTCAGTCTTAGGTCCTCTTCTATTCTCTATTCATTCTCTCCATTGGTAGATTCATCTAGCCTGTTGCTGGGTATGATTGACTCTTAAATGAATATTCACAGCCCAACCTCACCTGAGCTCCAGTCT